TCATCGCATTAAGAAATTTTCAAAAAAATTGAATCCACGGTACAATTTGAATCGCAATAATCTCCTTGTGAAATGTAAATCAACTTAAAAAGCACAAATTCATAAAGAGAATTTCTGGGTCCAAATAGAAACAAAAAACTATAAATTCATATAAAAAAATTCACAATAAAGAAAACAATAAAAACCCATCTTTAATTAACACAAAACCAGAACTTATAAAACGACCTTTCAAAATCAATTTCATTTATAATATGTGGGCGTGTACCTCATTTATAATAGCTAAAAAAATTTTTTTTTTGAAGGCAACTAGCAAGCTGCCTGCAACAGGTAGGCAGCTAAGAAAAAAATCAAAAATCAAAAAATTTGAACCAAAAATGCCCGCTAAGGCTCGGGCCGAGCCTCATTTTTTTGGGTCGGGCTCGGCTCGGCTCGGTCCAAAAAAGCTCGGGTTTGACTTGGGCTCGACTCGTTGACATCGCTATCTCAAATGTTCTCTTTGAGGTTTTGGTGTTCAAAAGACTTGAATCTTGGACCTCAAGGGAAGATAAGCTGCACCTAACAACTACAACACAATAACTTATTCGTATTCATTTGGAATAATATATAGGGCCTGTCTATCTTTGATTTTAAAAAGAATTTTAATTGGAAATCTTACCGTTGCTAGAGCTTGGAGCCGAAATGTTTGACCTTATCTCTCACAGTGGGACCCAGGAGCTGGCAAAAGAACGGTTAAAAAAGCAATTCTTCCTTTCAAAAAAGCTGTAACAGACATGCCCATAAATGTACAATAATCATTTATAGTTTTTAAAAATATTTTAATATAAATTATAGTCCTAAAATAAAACTTGCAACGGTTTTACTCCTTCCGTGGAATTTGGGAGATGGATGAAAAATATTTTACCACACGTACAGTTCTCAAGTGCTAACCTCACCTAAGCTTGTCCTTTTGCCGTACCTTGCACGTGAATATAGTGTATGTATTAATGCTGCTTTCTAAATTCGGAAATTGATGCAAATGGTTCCAAATATTTGTTTAAATTGCATTTTTTGTTTCAACACTAGTGAATTGAACGTGCATTGTTAGTTAGATAATATTTATTAAAAATAAGTGTGTAAATATGAGAGAAATTCATTTATATAAGTAAAAGATACTCATAAGTTGGTTGGAATTGATTTACTTTTCATCTATTTTCCTTTTTATATTTTTAATTCTTGATACGAACATTTGGTATTCACTGCATTTAACTTCTTGTTACTGCTATTTATTTATTGGAGTTCTATACAATCGTAGTAGCCTTAAGGCAAGGATAAACATAATTATCCATTAACTAGCATTCTCTTGATCTCGGGCCACGCCAAATTTTGAGAACTTCGAGATAAACTTTGTTGTGTGACAAGAGTCCTAGACTAAGACCAGATGTGATTCCAACAAATGTAACAATGGCAAAAGATATCATAAGATTAATCCACCACTCAGATTCATAACAGAGTGTTTTCATCTTTCATTATAGTGTTAAATGAATTAGGTATGGAGAAAAATTACGATATGTATTGTCAACTAAGTGAATCAACCAAAAGAAAACAATTTAAGAATTTATAAGAGTTGGAAATATGAAACGGTTTTGCTATGGGTACATCGGGATGTACATCGGGGTGTACATCCCCCTCACATGGGGATGGGTCCCGCTAAAATAAAAAAATATTTTACATAGTGGGGTCCCCTCCCATGTGAGGGTGTACACACCCTTATGTATGGATGTTGATGTACAAGTAGAATTATTGTATATGAAAAGTGAAAACTTTTACAAAGTCTCTAGATATCACTTTTTGGGAGTTATATTAACTAGCATTCTCTTGATCTCGAGCCACGCCAAATTTTGAGAACTTCGAGATAAACTTTGTTGTGTGACAAGAGTCCTAGACTAAGACCAGATGTGATTCCAACAAATGCAACAATGGCAAAAGATATCATAAGATTAATCCACCACTCAGATTCATAACAGAGTGTTTTCATCTTTCATTATAGTGTTAAATGAATTAGGTATGGACAAAAATTACGATATGTATTGTCAACTAAGTGAATCAACCAAAAGAAAACAATTTAAGAATTTATAAGAGTTGGATATATGAAAAGTGAAAACTTTTACAAAGTGTCTAGATATCACTTTTTGGGAGTTATAGATTTAATGAAGATTTAAATGAGATCCAAGAAATATTAAAATCTCAAATATTAGATAATTTTTAAAACAATTGTAATCAATAATTCGAAGTTATCAACATAAACAAAACTATAAACATCAATCCAAATAATTTTGATCCTACTAAGGATTGGAGACACGAATGATTGAAGATTGCCTAAGTATTACATTGTGTTAATGTTCCTATCTATAAGAGGTAAAGGAGATCGGAAGAAGGAACCAAAACAAAATATCAAATCAAATAATGTGGAAGGCTAATTCAATATTAAGTATTTCCGATAATGAATTAGAACTTACGTCATTATGGAACTCGTACCCATAAAGTTGAACTCTTATTTTGGCAAGATGTTGCAATGGCTAACTATCCACTGCTACAAGTAATTCCTACAAGGAATACATAATGTAACAGAGTAAATATGTGGGTGAATGAGAAGAACAAACTGGGTATGAGCCCATTTATTACACCAAAGATTGTCCTTAACCTCCTCTTCTTTAACAGTGACAAAGTCATGACTCATGCAATAAGTAAACAGCATGAATGTTTAAATCTGAAGCTGATGTTGATACTGTAATAGTGTTATTAACCTTAAACAAAAAAGAAATACAGTCTATCAATAAAATGTACAAACAATGGGAACAACTACTAAACGGAATAGGAAATATTTAAAATCCATAAAAGTATAGCATCAAAATATACAAACTTTGAGTTCAACTATTAACTATGCTGACCCATAAATGGTTTGAATCATTTAATTCTAGATTACTTCAAATCCAAGGAAAGAAAATGAAGTCATAAAAATACTTCACGGAATGTTCACCATTATCTAAGGATCACATATTTAATTCAAAAGGACGATTAGTTGAGGCAGAAAGTGAACTCATCACATTACAGATGGATATTCTAATGTAAATCATATATTGATCTAATAAAGCTTAATTGATCCACCGATCTCATAGTAAATGAAACTTATACTGTATAGGTATTCGGTAAAACAATAGGTAAGTGATCTATGTGTTCATAGTTATACCAATTGCCTCCTGAATTCTTGTAGACACCGCAGATGGTTGAGCTCGTTAAAGAACCATATCAAACCTATCCAAATTTACAGTGACATATACATATAAAAAAATGTAAAATCACAAGTAGTACAAAGTCACACCTTGCCCAGTGATTGTGTAGAGTAGCGAATGTGCAATAAACGGCCTCCAAGATCAGAACACGAGAGTCCATCTAATTTCTTAAGTACTGCACGTGCGCTACTTTCTTTATGATAGGAGACAATAACATGAGTTCCACTCTCACCTACTGCAAATACTCCGTTAACTTTGCCATATGTATCAAACATAGACATGATAATGTCAAATAAATGTCTAACTGCAACAACAAACATTTTTATCATTCAAGATTTTTCTTAATTAATGAGCCATTTTTATCAAATAACAAACACAACCGAGATACAATCAACGAAATGAAAACCACGACACAAAAACTTATTATTAGAGAGTCTTTCTTTCTTCCTTCACTGCTACAAGAATCTCATTCGTTCTTCTCATCCAGTCCTCTATCCAGCTATCGAAGCTACACGTACACACAGGATCAAAGATCCAATCGAAATTTCAATATAAAATATAACTTAAAGACTCCAGAAAGCATATAATTAAAAAATAAAACCATCCTACACAAGATCTGACCAATTTAATTAACACTAAGCCTTCAAAAAGCGGACCTTTTCAATACCTTTTCGTTAAATAAACCCCAAAGACGGCACAATAATAAATGGTAAAACATAAATTTATAAACTTATTCAAATAGCAAGTCCTTACCCAAAAACGAGTGAAATAATCAACCAAGATAAAAATACAGAAAATAAATATTTTTACTTCAATTTAGCCCCTGTTTGGAACACATTCTTTCAAACTCATTTTCAACTCACTTGTCGTCTATATTCTTTTTATCTTTTCGATTCTTCATATGGAGATTTGGTATTAATTACGTCACAAATGTATTCTTAACTAAATATAATCAATGATTTGATTTTCTTTTATATTAAGTTGTAAATGTTTTAGGAGCTCAAATGAAGAGTTAATTACTCATGCTTGTCACATTTTAGCTAGTTATTTGTTTAGATTCAACTTGTTTGTGTTAGGAACCTAATTACTTAGTTTAAACTACTAATGATGAGAAATTTGATTTTTATTTTTGTGTCATTTTTAATCATATAATCTAATAAGACGACCAACTCCTAAAAATAACATATCCAATTATCAAGAAGTTAGAGATTGAAAATACTGAGATTCCTATTAGTTTGGAAGTTTCGAGATAATATATTTTTTTATAATTTATTTATTTGTTTATTGTTGTTATTCAAATGGTATGCCGCTTCGAAACGGCATCGACGTGTCAAGTCCCGGGGTCGTGGGCAGGGCCCTTCATGGAGCTAGGGGACAACGCCCGATCGATCAGGTCGCGGGGGTCGATGGGACAGTGCCCCTCGTGGGGGTTCGAGGGCAACACCCCCAACGAGGATCGACCTGGTTATTTTTTACCTTAACACCATCTATTCCTATAAGTTTCTAAAATTCGAACTTAGCATCTAAAGTTCCAAACCCTCTTGACTAGCACAAGTTTGAAGATTTGGAGTTGGAAGAGGCTGGGGTTACACTGTGAGAGCACTTGAACATTTTTTGTTATAGCTGAAACAAGACCTATAAGAAATTCTATTGGTTCGAGAAAAAAATAAATGCCGACGGTGTCTCCGTGCCACACGGAGACACCAATTTTATGCGTACGGAGAAACGAGCATGGAGATACGATGGCTAGTGAAGAGATACTGTGTTTATGTAATGTCAGGAATTTCTTGTCATTCTTTAGAAGCACAATTCTCTGTCTTGCCACTTCAAGAGCCAACTTCTCGTGCACAGAGACACAAGGTTGTGTCTTCGTGCGTGCACGAAGACACGATGGCTAGTGAAGAGATATTGTGTTTATGTAATGGCAGGAATTTCTTGTCATTCTTTAGAAGCACAATACCCTGCCTTGCCGCTTCAAGAGCCAACTTGTTGTGCATGAAGACACGCGCGCACAGAGACACGATGGCTAGTGAAGAGATACCGTGTTTATATAATGGCAGAAATTTCTTGTCATTCTTTAGAAGCACAATACCCTTCCTTGCCACTTCAAGAGCCAACTTCTTGTGCTCTGAAGAACATACGTATCGTAACTTAGCATCTAAAGTTCCAAACCCTCTTGACTAGCACAAGTTTGAAGATTTGGAGTTGGAAGAGGCTGGGGTTACACTGTGAGAGCACTTGAACATTTTTTAGTTATAGCTGAAACAAGACCTATAAGAAATTCTATTGGTTCTAGAAAAAAATAAATGCCGACGGTGTCTCCGTGCCACACGGAGACACCAATTTTGTGCGTACGGAGAAACGAGCATGGAGATACGATGGCTAGTGAATAGATATGTGGTTATGTAATGTCAAGAATTTCTTGTCATTCTTTAGAAGCACAATTCCCTGTTTTGCCACTTCAAGAGCCAACTTCTCGTGCATAGAGACACAAGGTTGTGTTTTCGTGCGTGCACGGAGACACGATGGCTAGTGAAGAGATATTGTGTTTATGTAATGGCAGGAATTTCTTGTCATTCTTTAGAAGCACAATACCCTGCCTTGCCACTTCAAGAGCCAACATGTTGTATATGAAGACACGCGCGCACAGAGACACGATGGCTAGTGAAGAGATACCGTGTTTATATAATGGCAGAAATTTCTTGTCATTCTTTAGAAGCACAATACCCAGCCTTGCCACTTCAAGAGCCAACTTCTTGTGCTCTGAAGAACATACGTCTCGAGGTCCAAAGGTTCGGTATCAATTTCTTACAGGAGCTCCATCAAAAAGTCCAAGTCGGAGTTGAATAGAAAACAGATTGAGCAATGCTCTATCTATGTCTATCTCTGAAAACCTTCCTCCGCTCGATTGCAGCTTTAGTGTGCCTTAGAATATACGTTCCACAATTAATATTAGTTCCTGCCATAAAGTTTAATCATAAATTTGGCATAAATAACAGTTATGTGGGGAGTGTTACAACCAATATCCAAGGAAATGATATGAAACCTGCATTGAGAGAACTGTCAACTACATCCTCTAGTGTTTTTGCGTATTTCTAGTCTTCATATATAGAAGCCAAGCATCACAATCCAAAGGAATGTATCTGTATCATGGTATAAATGAACATAATTATAAGTCTTTGCAAAATATCAGATTGCTCACGTATTATTATAAAAATGGGAAGGGAAATACCACCCTTGAAAACCCCATTCCTTCGAGCTTTCTATAACAGATCATGATTTACATATGGAAAGAAATGAGAAGTTTGCAATGAGAGGTTGCGTGGGAAAATAGATGAGGAATGTGTGGTTGCGTGAGATAATTGAGAAGCATGAATGGCGATGTGGGAAATTTGAAGAATTTTAGGGAATAAAAAAAGGGAGGGGGGATTTTTACTACGATTGGAAATGGCGACATGTGTCCACCTTTACTTTGACTCTTTTAATATGTAGTGATTGTGACATAAATGATTCTTTAGATGGAATCTATCTAAAATGACTGTTAATTTTATGCCCTTATTTTTATTTTAATAAGCATTTCATCAAATAAATTTCTCTACTCAAAAAAATAAAACTTAAAAAGAAAAGATTATATATATATATATATATATATATATATATATATAGGAATTTCAACTAGACTACTCAATTGAGGGGAAAAAGCTTTATTCTTGAGATTTCTTGAATTTGGGATTTTGATCGGGACTGTTTGAGTATCGTTCAGAGATCTCTTCAATTTTTTTCAATTGAATTGTGGGAGAGGGATGATGGGGATAGATCCTCTAATATTACATACATACATATCTCCATAGAATTTCATGGTTATGGATGCGTGTCCGGCCAACTTAGGTTGAATGCTATTCGTTTGAGTGTTTGTGCAAACTGAAATTGACTTTTTTATTAATATGTTTAGAAAAATATAAATTTTATTTCTTTAAGCTTAGCCAAACATGGTGTACTCACATTTTGGAGAACCCTGTTAATTTTAAACAATATAAATTTTTCTTACATTTTGAGTTCTCATATTAAAATCGAAATATTTGAGCGCATATCATAATGGTTTACTTGAATGGAGCTCATATCTTAGCAACCAATTTTTATAAAAAATTCGAAGTTAAAAATCTACATGCATGATGAGTTGGCGTTTGAAATAAGTTTTAAGGAATTTTTTATTAGCATGACATCAAAATAAATAAATTACATATTAAATCAAATGGGACAGATAAGTTCGTTTTATTATTCAAGTAATTGCGCTTCGCATATTAAGTAAAATCCTATTTATCTTTAATATTAATGTTAATGTGCTCCATTCTAGGTTAAATAAATAAATATGTATGGAAACATAAATAAGCTCCCTTTGCCTTTTGGCGGTTATTAAAAATTAGATTTTTAATATATTATAACAAAAGTTGATATAATGTATAGTACTTGAAAAGTCGTAGGTATCATAAAATATATAGGTAAAATTATTTGTTGACTTTGACTTACATTAAAATGTATAGCTAAGTCTACATTTCTTTCTAGATAGGGATAGTAGCGAAACCAACCCCCAACGGGGGGGCACGGCTGCGGGGCGTCACGCCTGGTTGCAGAGGCGGAATTGTAGAATTGTGGAAGGGAAGTCGAGGAAGAAGACGAATGCCAAGGGTTAACCTTTTTTTTTTTTCCAGCTTTGGGCATGATAAATTGGGCATCTTTTATTTTAAAACAATAGGCCCCAACTCATATAATTCGATTACCCACAGGCCACAACAAATTGGAAGAAATGGTCCAAAATCTGAATCAGTGAAATCATGATTCAATTGTGAATAAACCCTTTCTGATTCTTGCTGTAGCGATTTGGGTGAGCTGCGGAGTCTCGATCTCTCGTGGGCGATGACTCCCAGTTCGCTGCCTACACCAACATCGACTCGTCGCCAACCTTACAATCTTCGATCTTAGACTGTGATTAGTGCTCCCTTTCTCTTTCTCTCGTTTTTTTTTGTTTTTGTTCACATAATGATATAATCACATAATTTATTATTTATTATTTATGAGTTATGAATATCATTTTTGTTTTACGACTTATGATTTATGACTGAGAAATGAGAATTATGAATTATGATAAATAATTTATATTTTATGACTTAAGAGTTATGATTTATCATCTATGAGTTTTGATTTGTGATTTGGGAATTTATGTTTAGGAAATTAGGATAAGTGAAAAAAATAATAATAGAGAAGATCTGGAGCTCAGTTGAACCACGTGTTCTCTTTTTTTTTTAGTATATTTACATATATATTGAATAATTTTTGATATTATTTAATTAAATATTAATAAACGACATCGCTATTACAATCGTTGATTGTCGACGGCCAACGGTCAAGACTCACATTAGCTGAACTCCGATCCTGAATTCGCCGTTGGATAAGGACTAGTGTTTCATGAAACACTAAGAGTTGCTTGAAGGGACACAGTTATATGCATAATTGTAACTAACTATTGATAAGTTATGGTTATCTTTAGATGACATCTATGATTACATTTCGTATAAATTAATTGATATTAATCATGTGCAGAAAATCAACTTTGATTTTACGAGAATCTATTTATTACTCTAGATTGAGGGTGGACCAAGGTGAGGTGAGGTGAGGTGAGGTGGGGTGGGTGAGGCAGGTCCCGTGCCCCATTTGTCGCCCCCATTTATTTTTTATTTTTATTTTTATTTATTTTATTTTTTATATCTTTAGTTAGTAAATATTATTAATTTTATCTAATTTGTTAAGAACAACTTATGTATTCTTTAAAAATGATGATAAATCTTCTCTCTCTCTCTTTGGATAAAAAGTTTAAATTTGAAATTAAATTTAAATGGGAGGGTAGTTGAAATTGGAAGAATTATATTAACTAATAAAATAGTAAACTTTGTAATAAGTTTGAATGAAATAAATTCTATCTTCAAAACTAAACAACTTTGGTTGAAATCATTTCGCCAGATTTTGGTTGAAACAAAAATTGAAAGACAAAGTTCTGAGTACAAGTACCAAAAGTTAAACTAGTGAGTGTAAAGTTCTATAACAATTAGCTCCCATTTGGGCCACCTTATTTTCTCATTAAAATAAAAAATATGACCGTTATCTATCACATCAACATTTAAATTCAAAATTTCTATCTTTTGTGTGGGCCCTAATAACAGCTATATTATTTATTCTCATTCTACAAAAAGGTGGCTCAAACAAGACCTTAGTATGTTTAACTAACCGTAAATTGATGAAAAATGTCCACTAGATTAAAATTTTTGGTGTCCACATATAACAAATTTCTATTACTCCAATCTACCATGTACTACATATGGTGAATTTTATCATTTCTGGTTCATTTAGGTTATCCTTTTGAGGAAACTGCTCTAAGATACACCAAACCTCGTCATTAATGGACGTATACAAAGTTCGCATTGGGTGGTTTAGAGGCGCACTTTGCACTTCGCATGTACGGATTGTTACGAAGAGTTGGGGAGCCTTATAGTTTTCAAAAATGGACTCATGGTTCAATGAAATGGTAACGGGAGGCTCGATGAGTTAGCATCCTAGGTGGCACACACGTAACATGTGGAGTCACTTCGTCCTGCATGGCAGTTGGTTCAGTTGGATGTACGCACGACATGGCTGGTGAATAGATATGATGAAGGGACACTATACTTCATGGTTTAATCTAGACCGTCAGACCACGAAATAGTACGATTCAATGTCTAAGACGAATCAGACCAAGTGGTGCACCAATTCATGAAATGTCACACATCCATTCAATGAGATACCTCAATCTTTATAAATAGAAACCTCCAGATTTGATTTTTAAACACACCAAATCAATTAAATACTACTGAGATTCAAATATTTTGCAAAAATCCTTTCAAATATATTCGTGATTATTTCGTTCGAGTATGATCATTCTTTGGTTCGACCGACAATGTTGGTATTGTGTAGTATCGACTTTGAAAGGAGCGTTGTATTTTGGGAGACAGACGTCCATAATCTCATTTGCACTTTATTAGGGGCTGAAATCTGTCTTAAGGAGATTCGCTTTGACATACCTCGCTTCATCTACTGCATTTCATTTTATGTTCAATTTATTTATTCTTTTGATTGAGATTGTCGTATTTCCAACA